GGGGTGGTTGATATCCTTCCTTCAGTTTCATAACAGAAAGAAGGAACTGTTATTTTTGTCTAGTTACAAAATAATCTTACTCCAAACCACAAATTGTGTATTTTTGTGAAACCCAGACTCAAGGACTTGTTGAAATGTTTGCATCAATATCCTGAGTCATTATTTTTTAGTCAACATTGCCTTAAAATGTTGTCTGCATCATGTCATGGCTTTGTTATTTAACACGGATAGATCTCAATTCAGAGCACTCTGACATTATGGTTTTAAACTAAAAATAAGATAGTTTTTTTCCAAGTGGAACAGTAGAAATGCATCAAGTCTATTGTGGTGAGAACAATACTGTGGCTACCTTTCTACAACGTCTTCCTGGAACACCTGACCTCAGAGAGTTTCCACTTTCTACTTTACTTTTGGTTCAACCGGTTTCAAACGACTGACACCTTCACCTTCAGAGACTGAGTCTAAAAATGTCAATATAAAAAACAAAAGGAGTAAAGCGAGATGACTCACCCACAATTCTGGAGCCAATTCTCGATCTTTCCAGTAAAGCATCCTGTGGAAATCACAACATTTAGCATTACTGAAAATCCTGATAAAATAGCAACTCTTCATATTATTTCACTCTATGTTATAGTTGTCTTCTTTAACATGCATACCTAATTTGGAATATATTTTATGAAAGGAAATAAGGAAATAATAATATTATTTAGCTATTTCTAAAAGAAGAAGCATTTTTTATGTGAATCAATTTTCAACCGGGTAATTTCTTATATTTGATGTATTAAAAGCAGAAGTGACATGGGCCCACACAATCTTCTACTACTTCCCTGGAATGCTTGATCATATGCTTATATGCTTGAGCTCAGTTTATCTGTAACTAAATCAACAAATTGATTAGAGCTATGACACCCTGCTCAGTTTGGACTCACCGTCAGAGAAGACGTCGTCGTCGGCAGCTACAGAGGCCGAGGGGAGGGTACATAACGGCCCCTCGGGGTCCGGCTCCAGAGTGGAGCGCTGCCGGCGGCTGTTGATCCAGGCCCTCCGCCTCACTGTGGAGGGTGGGCTCTCCATCGCCTCAGATCACAGACAGAACATGGAGGGGTCAAAGCTAGACAGAAAGAAGAACAAGGAAATAAAAAGATAACACTTAAAACGTTTGACACCTAATCTCCATGACGTTGAGTGTTTTGTTCAAACATTATTTATCAGCAAAGTAATCAACAGGATGTTTCTTCATAAAATGTGTCTTTTGGTTGGACAGGCCTTTTGGATTATTGTGCAATACTAAAACTCCAGAAGTCAGAATTTAGAGATTGCTCCATTTTAGCTTTAAAATTAATATTGTTTTCATTCAAATAAAAAAAATTGGAATCAATAGTTGAAAAAAGTTGGCTAAAATGTAATACAAAGAGCATGTCTACACGCCCTAATGTTCAAAGCATTGTTTCAAAAATGGTAAAAGGAAAGGGGCTAGTTCCCCTATAGGGAACTGACGAGGTGCCCCTGAGCTATAGGCACCAAACCCCCAAAATCTGCTCCAGGGGTGGCGAACCATGGCTCAAAATGTGCATGTGTGATATCTACGAGGGATATGTTAAGAGATGAAGGCTGCAATGAACGATAAATTTCTTCGTTGATGAATCTGTTGATTATTTTCTCGATAAATACATTCTCATTTGTATGAATAATTGTGTTGTAACTGTCTTTTCTCCCTAGGAATCACCTACCTCTATAAATACAATGAATCACTTACTAGGTCAGTAATTATTACCTGTTTTCTCCACAACTCAAACATAGCCAGTTCAAAGAAAAATAGAAAAAAGAATAACATAAGATAATTTTGACTTCTTTAGAACTCAAACCAATGAATTGATTATTAAAATAGTTGGCAATTCATTTAGTAGTCAACAACTTGTCAAAAATTCAGCTCCAAGAGAGATAGATTTTTAATTAATTGAGTATATTTGCCTTGTGACGGTCAACAGAAAGGGACATTTCTTGTTATTTTTTAAGTTTAAGCTATGATTTAATTGAATTATTTATTCATCATAAAATACTAAAATGTCTGAGTGTGATCAAATGAATTGCATATCACAGTTTAGATAAAGTAGCTATCTACAATGAGGGACAAACAGAAAAGTAGGCACAGATATAAACACAGAATGACAGATAAAGCCAATTCAATTTAAATTAAAAACTTTTAAAGTAGAATAAAGTAACATCATGTTAATGAATACATATGTGAAAATCTATTTGTAATAATTCAAACAAGCTCATTTAAAAATACACTATGCCTTTTAAGATGATAAACCTTTGTGTGATCCATGAGATAAGCGATGGACAGGTGTCTACAGGCTGTATATTTAGCTGAATGGTGCAGACTAGCCGAACTGAGAGTTTATTATTAAGTTATTATTCAGAAAACAACGTTGAGAGAAGAGAAGCAGCTTTACCTTCATGGAGGCAGGTTTCAGTTGTGTCAGTGGCGCTTTTTCTCTCGTTTCCTGTTGTCGCAGGCTGAGATCCGTGAAACTGATCTGCGATCTTTAGCAAACCCTCAAAATGCATCCAGCCTGCTTTGGGTTTCACTGATGACTTTACGGTGAAAATTATCAGTGCAGTTTCGTGTTAATTGTTGTGATACTTGTCATGCTGGCCTGCATGTGTTGCTGAATTTGCGTGGAACATTAAGAGAGTTTGAGCAGACTGTAGGAAGTGACTTTGCATCTCATCTGAAACTCAACAGTTCTATCAGCGTGGGATGCAGCTTCGACACATCCTGCAAAAAGCTGCAGTAAAAAGACTCATACAGTATAGTCGGAACAGTTTTTTTTAGAAATGTCACAGTTAATGGAAGACCAAGTGGTTATAATACTTATAACAACGTAGTTCATAACAATTGATTGCAGAGAAACCCCCACATGACACAACGGTCATTTTTTCCTTTAAAATTATGAATATAGTCCATTAAAGACATACTCTCCGGAGCTTTCTAATTTGGGATGAATGGCCTGTATAAAAATAACCTCATAATATCAGATCACGAAACACTGCAGGTGACAATCATGTTTGGTGATTAGGCTACTGCATTACATAACTTTAACAGGATTTTAAATAATTGCTTTATTAAAGGTTAGTTAAGCATGTACATGCTTTAAGATCCATTATCTACAAATGATGATGATCATTTGCCAGGTTTGGGCTGGTGTTCATCATCACATCTTCCAATGGATTTTTGAACACATCTGGACCACAACTATTTAGACTCATTTTAATTTTAATGATCATTCATCAAAAATCTATTATTTTGTAAATGTTACCCATTCTTGCTAAGAGAGAAATTGCATATCTTCTGTTAGCCTGATGATACAGTATGTTAACAACTATTTACTCCATGGTTTATTCTTTAATTGTTGACCTACTGAAATAATTAGCGAGCAATGGTTTATTGGAAAGGGAGACAACGTTGACACCAAGTGACTTTTTATTATTCGCATACCAAATGCTGTTTTTATCAATATTTTTTTGTCCATCAACATGGAAACTGTATGTTTAATTTGTTTTGTTTTTAATTTTGGTGGACATAAGTTTTCTTTCTGTATGCTTTCTCTTTCTACTGAGGGGAACGCACATTATCACCAATTTACGTATAATGCAAGTCATTCAGAATTTTTAGGTGAAAGCAATATTGCACATGGATTTTTTTTTTAGTTCTTTAATAAAGATAAACGAAGATTGGTAGACTAAATTTGCTCACTGATTTACTTTAGAAAAAGCAGAGTATTTACTCTAAGCTTAAGTACAATATGTTTTTAAGTTACTGATTTCTTTCTATTTGATGTTACTCTAGACTTCTACTTTACTATAGGACATTTTACTCGGATCAATGTATTTTAGAGTTGAAGTTTGTCTTTACTTCGCAGGGCTTCAGACATGTTGACATTGCACAGTTAAAAAGCAAAGGTGTGTAAATCATTAAATGAATGACCGCTGAATTTCATGCAGCTTTAGTTTCAGGGTCCTGGTATTTTCACATGCGGGCTCATTGTCACACTGACTTGCTGGAACAGAGAGAGCAATTATTAATGTTATCACTAACAATGGTGCTTTTCAAGGTCAAAATATCTACCTTTAAAGTTCTTATAAAATGCCCAAAAATGTTAATAATCAGTCATAATGAATGCTATAATATAGCCTAATAGCCTTTATGATTATAACAGTGGCCATTTGTGCTGACTTGCAGTTATTAACCCAACCATTACCATGTTTACCTTCTCACCTCTATTGTTATTCTTGTTGTATGGGCAACTTTTCTTTATTATCTAAAAATGTCCATAATTGTTGTAGGCCATCTTTCTTTCTCTTTTTTTGTCTTGCAGACCCCCGAATAAATATAAAGGCTACATGATGAAGATAATACCATACTTTGAAATGTAGGACTTTAACTAATATTATGATATTGCTACTTATTTCACTTCTAAAGGGAGTCAGTGGATTGTGCACTTGCAGCAAGCTGCTTAACTGAAACAACCCATTGTTAGAAAGGGTCGCTGTCTGCTTGATATAAATCAGAGATAAATGGTCATTCCTGTCACTAACTGTAGCAACATCAGTGTGTTTGACTGCAGACAGGTTTGGAGGATGCATGCTTGGCCTGAGGATGGACTCCACCCTCCGTCCTGTTTACATGGGCACATGTGCTGCTTCACTGACAGCCCCCTCGTACATCCCAATAAATGTAAGCCCTCCCACAAGCGAGCCATTTTCTCCTCCCAGCGCGGCTACAGCCAGTGTTTGAGTGTGATGGGGTCTCTTCTCCTCCACCCTGGCGGCCTCCTCCCGCCTCCTTGCTGTTTCCCAGCCCACAGGGCGCGGCCAGCGGCCACGGAGGCAAGACTTAAATACCCAGTCCGCCTTCCTCCTTTCCCTCCTCCGTGTTCAAAGCATAATATAAGCAATGGCATCCTTACACTGCTAAATGGTAATACAATATCACAGAAGGAGTAACGGGAAATATCAATATTTGCGTAAACCTATTTACAAATGGCGCCATTTAAGCGGAAAACAGATAACCAAACGTCAATCATGCTCAGGGGAACAACCTACCTTGCTTTGTCCCGCCCAATTCTCCGCTTTAGGCCAATCACATTGGTTTGTTTAAGCTCGTTGGCAAACACGACTTGTTCCATTGGAGGAAAGCAACAATCCTTCGCAAGTAGCTCACAGAGGGGTGCGCTTCTTTTTCATTGCAGTAGTACAGTAAACAGTAAAGATGCCAACGTGCATTAGAATCGAGTAGAATTTAAGACATAACGGTCTTTCTTTTTTTAAATATCCTTTCACAATGAGATGCTATTAAGGTTTGGTCATGTGGTCAACTGTTCTGATAACCAGTATTTCCACTATTGTGTGTTAAAATGACCTTTTAATTACCTCCGACTGCAAATCAACTAGGATCGTTCTAAATGAAGAGCTATATCAAAACCAAATGTAAATTAATGTAGTTTACATGCATTAGTCTTTAACTTTATGGTCAAAGTATAATGTCAACGTTTAACAGTACACAATAAAAAGCAATCTGCTGCCTGACGCTCAGTGTTCGTGCCCCACGAAGGTGTCGGGCTAACCCGGTGTTTAAATCGAACGCATCTGTCTTTCTCCTTCATAAGGGGAGTCCGTCAAGTTTGTGTGAAGTTGTGAAAAGTTGTGTCAACCCGAAAAAAGAGCAGAGAAACTCCTCCCGTCTTCAAATTATGAGCAGTAAGTGAACTTTTTAAACTCAGAGGAATGTTATAAACGAAGCATTATTCAGCAATTAGAATAATAGTATACATTTCCTACATGTATTTACGGTTAAAGTATGATATTGTAATGTTTTCTAGCTCGTGTCTCAAGCAGTTTAAAAGTGACCAACTACTAAACTGCTAATTGTCGGTTTTTAGCTAACCGTGTAATAGTAACTCTAGTTCTTCATCCACACACAATTCATCCACATAAATTGAAGTTTGTCATATTCAGTTGAGCTAGCTAGGTTACAGTGAGTAATGCAGTTTAAACTATGTCGGTCTCTTAAGCTAATACTTAGCAGTTGTTCTGAACATTACTTGTTGTGTTGACTTCTAGTTAGCTTAGCTAATATGCTAGCTGGCCCTTTTGAGCACTTGGCGTGGATTTCCTCGTATTTATCTAAATTACTTCACATTAGAACATTCCCTAAAGTTGAGTTATTTTCGTGAGGTCTACCATGCGTACATGTGTGTTTTCTCCAGATTGTTGAACCCAGCGTTATCTCATTTGGATCGTCCTCTGGTTGAAATGTAGCTACTTTTAATAGAAGTGATCTTACAAACTCTTCTTCCGCAGATCAGCAGCAGGGTGAAATGGCCGCAGTGGAGAGCGGAGGAGGCTACAGTCAAAAGCGAGACACAGGAAATTCACAAGTAAGTTAAATAGAGTTTCGCTGTTTCTCAAATCCGATGATCGCCAGCCGAGAGACCGTAACTTTAACGTAACACGCTACACCATTTGACCCACTTATAACAAATGATATGTATTCCCTTCGGTTCGGTTTGAATCTGTCATCCATCTCAGTCGGGACTTGTACGGGTTGTTGATTTTCTCTCCGGAGCACATGTCACCGGGGTGGGGAATGGGCAGGTAAATTTCGCCCACACGGGGTGTTCCCGTCAAACCGCGGCACTTCATGAGCATTTCGCTCGGCCCATTTGGCTGGCCTTGGAGGGGGTGGCTAGAGGAGTGTGTCAGTTTATAGGGCAAAATTAAGTGGGAGGGAGATGGGTGGGTTTGGGGGAGGAGAAGCCGAGCCCGCCGCTGCTCTGGAGAACGTGTGGTCCCTCCCATCCTCTCCCACCCTGCGTCCCCTGGACTTCTTACTACAGCAGCACCGGTCTCTGGGAGGGACTGGAAACAGACGTGCATAGTTTAATATTATGAAGGGCGTTTTTAGAGTACGGCAATATAGCAGGGTTAGATTTACAAACCAGTTCCATAATGTATTTGGTGTAATTTAATTTGTATTGTTAAATCCACCCCATGAATTTGAAATTATACGTTAACATGTTTTTGTTTTGTTTTTTTTCCTTTTGTCTCTTTAGTTCAGGTTCTGAATTTTGTTTTAAACATTGTTTATTACTTTGTAATTTCCCTGGTCTTATTATTCTAATTCTATTTACTCATCTGTTTTATTGTTAAAGCAGCATTCAGGGTTGTGTTCCAATTGTGTGTTAGCATCAGTTTATTTGTATTTGAAAGTTAGTGGATAATTTTGGACAGCATCTTCTAGATTTGTACCATTAGCATGTATGTAGGACGGCAAGATGTATTTTCACTTATATAGATTCCGTCTGTTATCTTTTTTCTTTCAGTTTTCTCTTCCAGGACTCACCAGCAGCCGTTCTCCTCTCGGCCTTCGTGTTTGGCAGCCACTGCAGTCGAATTGACACCCCAGGAGTGAGGTCCTGGAGAGATGAAAACATGGATAAGATGTCATACAATGGACTAGAAGCAGACCGACAACAACAAAAAGCCAGTCCAGCAACAGGCTGGACTAATACTAAGTAGCGAAGAGATCAGTTGCACCTCCGTACATGTCACAATAATAGGCTGACAATGGTACCCAACATTCATGTCGAGTTCAGACAACCTCGCTACGGTCTATATATATTATCTATTAATTTCAAATAATAAACTTGATGTAACAACAATTGGACACAAAACCTCACTGCTGAACCTGAGCTGGCATTTATCCAATCAGAGAAGATACATATGAGTATGAGAAAACTAGAGTAGAGTTAGCAATAAGTGAACGCCAACTCGCAGGGTAGACAATAGAATTAGAATAATAAGACCAGGGAAATTACAAAGTAATAAACAATGTTTAAAACAAAATTCAGAACCTGAACTAAAGAGACAAAAGGAAAAAAAACAAAACAAAAACATGTTAACGTATAATTTCAAATTCATGGGGTGGATTTAACAATACAAATTAAATTACACCAAATACATTATGGAACTGGTTTGTAAATCTAACCCTGCTATATTGCCGTACTCTAAAAACGCCCTTCATAATATTAAAACTATGCACGTCTGTTTCCAGTCCCTCCCAGAGACCGGTGCTGCTGTAGTAAGAAGTCCAGGGGACGCAGGGTGGGAGAGGATGGGAGGGACCACACGTTCTCCAGAGCAGCGGCGGGCTCGGCTTCTCCTCCCCCAAACCCACCCATCTCCCTCCCACTTAATTTTGCCCTATAAACTGACACACTCCTCTAGCCACCCCCTCCAAGGCCAGCCAAATGGGCCGAGCGAAATGCTCATGAAGTGCCGCGGTTTGACGGGAACACCCCGTGTGGGCGAAATTTACCTGCCCATTCCCCACCCCGGTGACATGTGCTCCGGAGAGAAAATCAACAACCCGTACAAGTCCCGACTGAGATGGATGACAGATTCAAACCGAACCGAAGGGAATACATATCATTTGTTATAAGTGGGTCAAATGGTGTAGCGTGTTACGTTAAAGTTACGGTCTCTCGGCTGGCGATCATCGGATTTGAGAAACAGCGAAACTCTATTTAACTTACTTGTGAATTTCCTGTGTCTCGCTTTTGACTGTAGCCTCCTCCGCTCTCCACTGCGGCCATTTCACCCTGCTGCTGATCTGCGGAAGAAGAGTTTGTAAGATCACTTCTATTAAAAGTAGCTACATTTCAACCAGAGGACGATCCAAATGAGATAACGCTGGGTTCAACAATCTGGAGAAAACACACATGTACGCATGGTAGACCTCACGAAAATAACTCAACTTTAGGGAATGTTCTAATGTTCACATTAGAACATTCCCTAAAGTTGAGTTATTTTCGTGAGGTCTACCATGCGTACATGTGTGTTTTCTCCAGATTGTTGAACCCAGCGTTATCTCATTTGGANACGAGAATTAAGTCAAGTGGACTTCCTGAGACCTTGAGTGCTATATTCCTTTCTTTAAGGGTATCAGAGTTTGTTAAATATGCCGCTGACGTCACTTCTTCTTATTTTCTGCTTTGGGTTACTGGCAGGCCGCAAACAACTTCACGGCGTATACTGCCGCCCAAACATCCCCGGCCGAAGTACCCGGAGTTGGGGACTGGCTTTGGTAGAAGCTGCTGGGACTCCCAGCAGCTTCTACTGAAGCCTTCCGAGTAAATCGCCAGAACGCCGACACCTCCTCATCTCCACCGCTCCCATGTTTTATTTTGTGTTGCCATAAGTTAGTTTCTCTGCGTTTCTGCGCTGGGCTAATGCTAATAATGCTAATGCGAGGATAATAAAATGGTGGCTTCACAACCCTTTTTTGGAGTTTTACTGGGCGTGGTTTGCAATCCGCCCAGCCAATCAGAAATATAGCTCTTTTCTCACAAGAGAGCCGCATGAGAGTCCCTGCTCTCTAGCAGGGACGGAAAAGGGGGTAAAAAGGTGCTCATGAACTAATTTTAGTTCCGGCTCTTTTTGGTGTGAACGTGACATTTCAGAACTATATCGGAACTAAAGTAGGAAAAGTACTCCGGTGTGAACGCGGCTATTCATCATCACATGTCACATAACACAATGACGGTTACCAAAACACAATTATGAAATAAAAGGCCATTTAAGGCAATGTTAATATTAGAGAGGCTACCAGGCAATATATTATGGGGGTACCTTTTTTACAGGTCTATCTGATGATAGTCTGATATGACAACTTGAGTATATATTGATTATACCCGATATAACATTAAATTGGTGTATACTGCGGTTCAAAACTGCTAATAGATGAAACAGGTGGTCATTGTAAGTATGGTGAATAATAAATAACATGCCAATCTACAGCCTAGCTAATGTTCTGGAGCGTTCCGGTTATATAGAGTGGCAAAGTCCCTCCCCTTCCGGTGGACCACCATGGCAGGGGTTCCCAACCTTTTTTCCTAGGAGCCCCCCCAAATGACTCTTGTTGGAAGTTGCGTTGGCCAGGAAAAACAGGCACTCGCTTGTTTAATTATTTTGCGATCTAGATTTCTTCTTCTTTTTTGAAGTTGTGTATTCTAGCTTGCGCCCCTACATGCAGCCATCGGACAATCTTGAGCATTGTCTGGCAGCACCACTCTCTGTTTAGGAACAAAACGGCAACACCAGCGCAAAATACCTTTTATTGAGCATCATGTGAGTGCAGAACCCGTTAAAATTCAGTTCAGTGTCACATTTCGTGAGCGACTGGCTCCACATCATTCTGCTTCCAGAAGAGATATGCAGCCAATGGCAGGCTTAGATGTCTACGTCCTGAGTGCAGGGGTGTTTAGACTTACCCACTGGAGCCCGCGGGCATTTTTTAGGCTGGAAAGGCTCTTTGTGAGTGACAGTGTCGGGCCTGGCTTTGAACACTGCTGCCTCCTCACGCTTTTGCTCCTCTTTGGCCTACAAGAAGAACAAAAGAAAGAAAAAAAAGGTATAAATCTGACTTTCAAGTAAAAGATGGTCATGATGGAGGATGAAAATATGGAAGTGATGGTACCATCTGCTCTGAGCGACTGCTCTTCACGGCCCCCCGCTCGTCCAGCAGCAGCTTGAAGGGCTCGGGCTTGGTGGGCTCCAGCCTCTTCTTCTCAGGGAGGAACACGGTGTCAAAGGCTGGCAGCAGCTGGGCCTTGAAGTGAGGCACCTGGGAAGTTTCAAGGAGACAGGAGGAAGAGGTTTAACTGTTGAGTCTTCATTCTGGGGGTCAGAGGACACAGGATGTGGTAGCAGACCCCCACCTCTTCATTGCGCTTCTCCTCCAGCTTTTTCTCCTTCAGGGCCCTCCTCTCTTGGTCCCGCTCTTCGAAGGAGAACGGACACACCTCCACATGGTGGTTCTCCTGCAGCTGGGGCTGGAAGGGGAGCCCAAAGTGAGGCACTGGAGGGGGGCCTTGATGGGCGAGGGCTGCTTTACCTGGCAGAAAGAGAAACGTTTGGTTACGTTGAAAGAGAAGTCTTGGTATAAACTTCCTGTTTGACCCCTTTCCAAAGGTTTTTATTTCTGGATAAAGGTTTGTTCTATACTACATTTTAATAAAGAAAAATAATTCTGATCACTTTCACTTTGCATCTGCTGTCTTTTTGTTTGTAAAATAAGTTAAAGGTCCCATGTCATGCTTCCACACACACTCAGCTGCAGCTCCGCCGATTTCTCCTCCCTGAGACGGTGGGACGTGGCGAGGCTGGGAGTCTGTGTGAGTGCACACACACAGACTCCCAGGCTGCGGGTGTTTGGGTGTTTCGGGGAGGGTTTCGCTGTCTCGCAGACGGCCACTGGGCTCACAGGGAGGGGGGACAGGAGCTCCAACAAGCCGTGTAGGACAGAGAGTGAATACACATACTATACAGAGATGCTGTATGAGAAACCAATGTGAGTTTGGAACATTGAACAATGTAAATCTATTCCAGTAGATGTCAACAATGGAATTATGATCAGTAGAAATGGCCATGACATGGAACCTTTAAGGTTTTGGCCTTTTTTAAACGCCGAAATGAGGTTTCTTTTTGTGAAAAATTAGGTATATTAACCATACATTTCCAAAACGAGCAAAACGTGTGAAAACAAGTCAAGAAAAAAGCTAGCTTAAAAAGATGCAACACAGGTTTGGCTGAGTATTTATACTGTATACTATGTAGGACCAAAGTTGCACAGTTGATGGGAAGACAGATGTGTCCTCACCTCCTCCAACTTCTCCATACGGACCCTCTTCTTCAGGATGAAGGCTGGCGACTCTGGCACCGTCGGGTGCAGAACCTTCTTGTCTGGCAGACCCTGTCATCAGAGTGAAAGTGTTGGTGTGACATGCTCATGGAAACAATCTCAAAGCTAAAGGACTGGGACTCACCACGACTCCCTCCAGGATCTTTCTGGGCAGCGGCTGGGCTCTGAAGCTGGGATGCTTCTCCTCGGCCTCCTGGGGCCTCTTGGTCTGCCTCTCATGCAGCCTCTTGTCAATCTGCAGCTGGGAGCCTTCAGGCACTGTGGACTCCTTCACTGGGGGTCTCTTCAGGCACTCTGCGCTCTCCAGGATCTTCCGGTTCAGCTCCACGGCGATGATTTTAAACCTGATTAAAGAGTCAGTTGAATAACCCTGGACGTATTAAGGCGAGACACGGCAGGCAAAAACATCGTTTTTCAAGCACTGGTCAATTTTGAGATTTTGTGCTATTTTGATTCTATAACATGTTTTCTTTCAGGCTTTTGGAGGAAAACGTCCAAAAATACACATTTAAGTGTTTATTTGGCTATAGTTTGGTCTATTGCGTCAAGTAGATTCTCCTAAAATCACAAAAAGTTAGCTTTCTAACGTAACATAATAGTACCGCGACCGCTGTGTGCACCAATTGTCAACAGAGATATCGATTAGTATAGCGTGGTCTCTGCTGCTCAATCTTCTGGGATCAAATGATGCGTATTTCCTTTGTATCAGCAACCAATCGATGAAAGCACAAAGGGTCGTAAACCTAAGAAACGAAATCTCTCATTGGCGGTGTCATTTCTTCAGACAACGTGATGTCGTTCAGATGCGTCCGTGGTGTGCTAAAGACACTTACCTGGTTAGCTTTCCGCTAGAATTAATCTCAAAATGGAAAGAACAGTGCGAAAAAAAAAGTTTACAGAGAGATGACAAACATTAACCGCTTGCACGAGCAAGATTATACAAAAACAAATGACCCCGCATGAAAATACCTTCACGGAGTGGCGTCGAGCGCAAGCTGTCATCCAAAGAACAGGAGGGTTTAGCTAAGCGCTCACTGCAATCTTTAACGGATCCGTTATTCTCAAAATGATTTTTTCTCTACCTGAGTTCAAAATGTCAACTTCAGTAGCACGTAGACATCACCAAACTCTTCAGTTATATTCCTATCAAATATGATACGCTTTTACAGAAGGGTTTGTTCATATAATCATTCATGCCTGATTATACAAAATTGTATTTGGAGCTGCACAAACGACTACTTTGATAATCGATTTAATCTATCGAGCTTAATGAAACGATAATCGACTATTCCGGACTATACTGTATGCTTGCACAATTTCTCAAACGATCTTATTAGGCATCAACTTTTAGATTTAGTTGGAGGTTGTTTTAGGCATGTGGAAACTTAACAATTTAGACAATAAAGAGAATAACCGTTGATTCAACAAATACATATATTATTTAAATTAACTAAGCCACTTTTGAACAAATAACATGTTGCTTTTTATTGTAAATTAATAAATAATCTTAACATCAAAAAAACAACACGTGTTTAACATTCGTATTAAAGTAATGTGGAATAGACAGAACTGTAAACAGAAAGCTGAAACTTTAACAGAGATAAATAACTCAGTATTCTAATCATTAACCATGTTTGTATAGATTGTGTTACACTCTGGTGTTGCTGCTAGATACTAGGACCTGAGTGGAAACGTTACTGTGTGATGGGGCTATCAGAGCTGCTAGAAAGACAGTCGAAACCCGGTGCATTTCGTCTGATGTTGTGACTTTTGCTACAATGTTTAGACAACTTAGCTCGTTGTTACCGCCCTTACATGCTAAACTCTTATTGAACTTTTGCAACGAGCATGTGTCCAGACGAGACGGGTAAAGTTTAACCACCCTCGGAGCGCGTTCTCTCAGCCATCCGTCCGCAGTGTGTTGCCTGCATGAGCACCGTGCTGTGTGTAAATGCCCCGCCCCCTCACCACAAGACGGGCGGAGAGAGATCTCGTCTGATCGAAAATAATTACATGACGCATTTGTTTGTCTTTTCGCATGTTAGAACTAGTATGGGCGACACTAGAGACTGCGGTATACATGTTTTTTAGCAACATACATGACATATATTATGTTTAAATGTCTCAGACAGATAAAAAGACCAATAACGTTGGAGCTTAACGGGCGTAAACAAAGTGATTTACGTCACACGAATCGACTACTGAATTAGTTGGCAACTAATTTTGTAATCGATTTTAATCCGATTAAGTCGATTATTGCTTGCACCCCCCTACATTGTATGAACCTAAAAGCATGCAAAAATTCGAGATATTTTATGCGCTGTGACCAGTATTCGTCCTGATCTGATTTATGAGATGATAAAAACGAGATAATCCAAAATCCATATCTGTAAAGCCTTAGAACTAATCAATGACTAACAAAATAAAACAAGATTTGAACCTGGTTTATCCAATTCAGATTTCGTTTCCTGAAATTGTTAAATATGCACATGATTTGGATGAGATACATGGTAATTTGAATATTTAAAATGCTATTTCAGAAAACTGTAAACAAAGAAAATGCCTTATTGGTAAGTAAATTAACTGGAAAAAATGTCTAGCTGATACCTTTTAGTTAAAAAAATTACCTATTCACCTTGGGTGTTCGCCTTAACAACCTGAGTTCTTTGAAAGGACTATGGGCTAAGAAGAGGCTCTTATTCTGCGTTTCTCCGCTCTCCTCCTCCAGCTCAGCGCTGCTCTTGGTGACGGAGGGGCGGTTCCTCCGGCGTGTCATCAAGTGAGGGGTGTGTGGCTGGGTGAGTTTCAGCTTATCCCCCTTCACCCCCGAGGGTCCTGAAGAACACGGGATGTCAGTAAGTGGCCCTCCAACCCCCTCTGCATAGAACACACGCCTTTAAGACCAATCTGGCTCCAAACACACCTTTGTTTATTCTCTTGCGACTGCGCGGATGGTAGCGATCGGGGGTTCGATTCTGGAACTGCTGCCCCATGGGCACATCGGCCCTCGGCCCCTCTGCCTTCTTCTTGTTGCCTGTTGACAGGTTGAAGGGTTTGGGAACGGTGGCGCCTTTCAGAGCCTTTGCCTGGAGAAAGAAAAGGGGAAGAAGGTGCATTATTCATCTGGCGTGACCTTCGATACGTTTGGCCACGCAACAAAATCAGGATGCTTTTTTTTTTTTTTTACGGAACAAAGCCAGGTTTTTATAAATGTGTTTCTATCCAGCAATATTTCAGTAAAGAAGCAGTTTGAGTGAAAGTACTGTAGTAGCACGCTTTATGAGCAGACATTTAACAAGTCAATAATTAACTGCTCTTACATTAACATCATTAATCACCAAATTCTATTGAACACCCTTTAGAGCAGGGGTCTCCAATTTTTTTTAGGATGAGAGCTACTTTCAAAAAATAAAACAAGTCCTGAGCTACTTTTACTCCTCTTTTTTTGTTTTTTGCAGTGTATATATTTAGCACATTTTAACATTATTATATGCTACCTTTAGTCTTTGTGTGCTGTTTGGGTCT